TACGTTCTGCTTCCTGGCAGACAGCTGGCAGTAGAGCTTCACTTACGATATTCTGATAAACTGCAGCGGAATGCTTCTACTTTCTTTATAATACACTTGAATCTGTAAGGAAAACTGGTATCCATTCCCTCACAAGAAACCTCACACAGAAGTGTACTGAAAGTATTCAAACTGGCAAACAGACCACCATCTCTTACAGAACAAAAATAGGTACAAACATCCACCTCTATGAGCACAGAAGGCTTTTTTAGTGAAAAGTTTTAGGTTTTGATTAACTGTTTTTAAGGCATATACGAAAGTCATAGCAAAATTTTCCTGATGAGAAAACATTCCTGAATGGACACTGGGATACGTATTTCGGAACACATGAAGTATCACCTTCTTCAGTAGCTTGATATGGACAAAAAAACCCTTGAGGCTTGCTTAAGGAGTCTTGTCTTAGTCAAGATTTGTTAAAGGAATAAAGCCTTACACATCAAAATTATTTTTAAAATGTATTTTATTTCTGCCAATGGAATATAAACAAACTTAGTAGAGTTTGTTAATCTTCCATACTGGATAAACCAGCAAAAATATTTAATGATTTCCTCACAATGATGACAAAGAAGGAAAACATAGCTTTTTATAGGAATAACAGCAGCGCAAAATTTGTAAAGATCAATAAAGTGGAAAAGATGAAAACTTGGAGTTGGTAATACTACTTACACAGTAAACAAAGCTGGGAAAACCCCCTGAGGTTTAGTACTAATCTATGTGGAATGTGTAGTTTCACAATATTTTAAAACATTCAAAACTCCAATGTAAACACTGAATAGGTTTTGCAAGTTTGCTGAAGTACACTAAAAGAGTGTTCTGGGACACCACAGCACTGCTATTTCTGCTTTTGGCTGTTATGTGCTTCCGGAACACTTACAATGGCCCACAGTGACTCGTCACGTCTCAGATGTTATTGGAGGAGCTCATTTCTGAGATTTGGCAGTGCTTTATGCATACCTGACACTTTCCAATGTAGATTTCAGGCCCGGAGGGGGAGAGAATCACACAATTTTTCAGCAAACCGAAGACCTACTAAAAAACCCACATTGTGTCAGAAAACACAGAATTCCTTCACTGACTGAAATTCTGTAATTTGCAAAGAAATTCTGTAACAAAGGCACAAACAGCACCAGAAATCTTTCTTTCCAGAAAAAGGAGAGAAAGCTCCAGCATCCAACTGGCCTGGTCGTACCTTCTGTTTTTCCTTCCCTGCACCCGTCCCGTAGTAGCACAACTTCACACAGGCAGAGACGCTGTATTCCAGCAGGTGTAACTGCCCATGATTAAGGCACACTGCAGGGAAGCGGCACACATTTTTTAAACTTGCTCAAGCTGCAAGAATCTGTTCCTGACTTCTCTAACCATAAAATTATTACAGCTGCCATCACCACTGTAATACAAGTGGGAAAAATGTAGATCTTGCTACCTTTAAAAAAAGCAGCAGTAGCATTCTGCCTTCAGGAGTAAGTTTTGGGTTACAGTCAGAACAGGACTAAATTACAGGGGAAAACATAGCCATACTCCACATCCCTTTGTAACGTTTAGTACTCCTAAGCTCAAGACTGCTCCTCACCTAGTACCTGAGCCTACTGAACGGCCATTCTGAGGCAGCAGTCCCCCTCCACACCGCAGGGGATGCCAGGACACTGACCTTCGCTTCCAGATGCCAGTCTGAGGTTTGAAACTTCCAAGAACGTTACTTCTTTAAAAGACTCGGTCTTAACTTGCCTCTCTATAAATACGGTAGTAATGATTCTCATATAACTCTGCCTAATTAGTCTAATGGAATTTCTGTGGGTGTGAAATCTGGTCAGGTAACACCAAGTAGAACTATATAGGTAAATTTAGTCAGAGCATCACAACACCTTCGAGAAAGGAAAACTTAAGTATTACAAGGTATTCATCAGTCCATTACTATCCTAAATACACTGGTATTCTACCTTTTTTTATTAGAAGTGACACAGATATGCTCACACGTTCTCTAAGGACCTCGAAAGTCTTTAGATACACTGGATATCCACCTCCTTAAAACAGTTGTCTTGTAATAAGATGCATATTCAAGGAAATCTGAATTATGAATAGTCTTAAAAGAGAGCCTATTTAATCCCAACCAGCCTGGATAATTTTTTCCTGACAATGGAAAAGAATAAGAGCTCTCAGATCCTCTTGAGATAGTTCCAGAAGATTCTGTGACCCACAGGAACCTTTCATCACACTTAGACACCACCTTACAAATAATATACACCTACAAAGTACAAATGTAAAGGAAAAACAAACAAATCCCCCAAAACAACAAAAAGCCCCTCAAACAGCATTAAAAAAAAAGAACAAGCCAAAATAACCCACACAGAAACAAACACCCAAAGCAAACAAACAAAAAACCCCCAAAACCCAACCCCAAAGCAAAGAAAAACAAACGAAAAAATCCCAACAATAACTAACACTAAAATTAAAAAACAAACGAATAAACCCAAAATACACACACACAAAAGCCAACCCCAACCCCCCCACAAAAAACTCAAACCAAACCAGCCAACCAAAACAAAAAAACAAACCAAAATTAAAAAAAAAAAAACCCAAAGCAA